CTTCTTGCAATTTTCTTGTTTCAAACTTCTTCCAACCTCGCCTTTACACAACAAACATAGATTGAATCTAGAACTCACGGAGAGATCTAGTTCTCCCTTTGAACTCACTAAGAGATCAAAGGGAAAAGAGGGTGAAGAACTCACCAAGAGATCTCCTTGCACACACTAAGAGAACACATAGTAGTAAATTTTCATTCATCAAAAACTAAATTATTACAAGAGAATGGCCATATAAATAGGCCTCACAATGACAAAGAAAAACAAAAGACTAAAATGCCCCTCGGGCTACATTAACGACCAAATACCCCTAAGGGCAAAAGCGGAAAAACATACAAAACAAATAAACTACTACATAAAATGATGAAAATAAAGATCATGATCGTAGTCATCGATCTCCGGCATCTCCTGATGGTACATGTGTCGCAATCTCTGACGATGTCCTCATCAGACCATTTCTAATATTTTCTAACCAATTATTTTTTTATTCATTCTGTAACCAATTTCACCAATTATTTCCATGTGATTTGTGGATACAGAACAATGAAGATTTTGGTGGAGTTTTTGATATGATTGTGGTCAACAAAGCCCCATTTGAACATTTTGTAAGTGGTTTTTCGCTGTTGAATTTGGTGGTTCCATTCATTGCATTTAAGTTTTGGTTATCTTGATTAAAAATGAAAAAGTGCTATTTTTTAATTCAATTTATTTTTTGAGAAATTACTATCTTCTAATGGTGCCTCACTTTTGCACTGCACTGCATTATTCTCCTTTTCTTCCTCTTAAACCTGTATTTGTTATGTGCTACATCATTCAATCAGGGTTTCCTTTCTGTAGGTTGGATGAAAGCTTTTTCATTTTTTTTTCCAGGTTAAAGGTTTCCATGCCAGTGCATTATAAAGCTTTCTAGCTAACTTTTCTCAAATTTAAATCTAAGCAAATATTATACGAGCCTTTAAATATGCATAATGTGATGCATATAGGTACAGTGAATCTCATTGTATCCCAAATAACGGATTAGCATGATTTTTTCCCTCTTTGGGTCTCTTTTGCAGTGCTCAATAGACACATTAGATGCCAACCAGACCGCCAAAAAAATGTCTCAGACCACAAAATCTGTGGAGAAGTCAGAAGGAAACATGAATTTGAAGAAAGATCTTCCAGAGGTACTATGCTGTTTGAAATTTACTTGCATTGAACTTGTTTATTGTTTATTCCGTACCCACAATACCCTCTATTAGCATGACATTTTTGTCCTTCACAAAATTTCCTCCTTTGCATATATTTCTTTCTGTTGGCTGAAATCAAGAGTTTTCTGTGCTAGTTTTTGTATTTGTATTATTCCTAGACTGGTACTTTGGTATCCTGTACTTGTAGGATTAGATCACTGTCAATGGGAAAGTTGTTCTGTGGGTATTTTTTTGTCTGTTATAGGAATATTAGACATCAATGCAGTCAACTTATCAAGTTCTTTTTATATTTTTTTGGTTGGGTACGCTAGTCTTGAGATCCTTAAATGGTCGGCACTTCTCTGAGTTATCACTTTTAAGAAGCTCAATGGCACTTCTTGAGATCCATAAATGGTCAGCACTTCCTGAGTTACCACTTGTACGAAGCCCCATCTCACCTCCCGCATCTTCAAGAAACTATAAAGTGCTTGAGGGCATTGATGGATGTAACCGATGACTAATATGATCATTTTTACTAGATTATGTTATGTGGGTTGTTTGTACTTCCAAGTTGCACAACCATCTGTACTTTTGTTTCAACGGTTCATGCTATTCGGGAAATTTAGCATTGTTGTTGGTGATGGTGATGACGCGGCTTTAAGTTGAAAGCATTGATGGTTTATTTTGGAGCTGGTTTTCCTATTTGCTCACTCCTTCTCAATCTCTTTCCCTCCACCTTTGTTTTTCTTATTGGTGCTATTAGAAGAAGTGACGTCTTTAAATGAGCTTTTCTGTGATTACTAGCGATCTCAGTGATGTGCAGCAGAGCACTGCACAATTAAAAGTTAAATCCTCAATATGATAGCTTACTTTTCAAGGATGAAGAATGAGCAGAGCTTGCTTTATCCCATTCCTCTTTATGTATATGTTATTTTGATGAGAGAATTCGATATTTTCTTTTATGCAAGTTATGTTATTTCTTCATCCCTTATTAGTTTCTTTCCTTTACATCACATTATTCAAATGGGTAATTATTGACACAATTCCTTGATGGCCGCCATTTTCAAGAAAAAAGCACCTGTTGATGATAAAGCCTCAATTGATTCAAATAAGGTCATTAAAGCCGCTGTTGTGAAAGCTGCTACAGAATCAACTAAGAAAAACACAGAGGAGAAAAAGAAGCCTTCAGAGAAGGAGTACTCTGAAAAGGATATAGAATGCTCTATTACTATTCTTAATGTACAGGTAGGTCTTATTCGCAAGGCATGGAAGCATCCGTCTGCAGACAGGTATAGTTGCTTTAACTTTTTTGTTTATTCACATATTATCAAGCAAGTGATATTTGTCAAACTACCACAGTTTGCTTGTTGAAGAGATAGATTTGGGAGATAATAACCAACGCCAAGTAGTTAGCGGACTTGCCAAGTATTATAGTCCAGATGACCTAATTGTAAGCGGAAGACTGTCATAAGTATTGATACATTTATGCCTTTTCTGACTAAAAAACAAACGTTTTATGCACTGTTGATCAAGATCTTAAAATAAATTTGATTTGATTTTCTTACACAGAACCGCCGTGTGGTTTTAATCACAAATGTGAAGCCCGGGAAATTGCGAGAGGTGATGTCCTCTGGATTGGTATGTTTAGTTTTAATGATTTTGGTGGTTTTCTTTTCTTTGTTCATAATTGAACTTCGTGTTATATTTTTCATGCACTGAACAAATCCGTTACTAAGTTGCTATTACGACTTGTATGCAAAATGTTAACAGGGCATGTGCATCATCATCACCTATATTAGCCTCTTCTCAACTATTTTGGGTGGACCGTGTTAATCCTCCATTATTTTCTTATTAAGCCCTATATAACGTGATAGCCCAATTTTTTGCAATTCTTTTTGTATAACTTCTGATCAGTTATGCTTTACTCTTTTCTCTCATTCATTCTTATTAATTCTTTTACTCTCTTTATTGGTACATTTTCTATCATCCATTGTACTTGCTCAAACCTCATAAATTTATTTTTCACCATCTTCAATAGGTTTAACACTACAATCCCTTTAGTATTTGCCATTTTACACTCTATTTTCTTATTTTTTCACATTTTCACTTGAACATTATTATTTTAGCTACACTCCTTGTGAAACCTTTCTTGTCCAACACTTTGCTTGTATAAACTTATTGCATCATTAAGTTTGTGCTCTTATTATATCATAGACTATTTTATTGAATGAACTAATGATATTAGGTGGTTACGTTTCCTCTGAGTCATTAATATTGTTAAAGTAATCACTCTTATCACTATCTCCAATTTTGTATGAAGAGAAATCCGTGATGCCCCTTTTCTAAAATTTGTGTTTGTCAATTATGTTTGTTTGATCATCTAGTTTTCCTGTTTGTCAGACCCCATTTGCGCCAACACAAGGAAAAATCTCCCCTATCTCATATGCCTGCTTTTGCCACCTGCAAGCCATATGCACTTTAGTTACATTTACCTTCACTTTTTAATCTACATCATTCTTGCCATGGATCCAGAGATTTCGCAACTTCCTACACCATTTAAAGCGATCATTTCCCTCACACTCATTTACTTGCATGCTTATTTGTGACAAATAACTTCGGATAATCTACACCCATGATGTAGCCACTATTTTCTCATTATTTTTCAACTTCAAATCAACATTCATCATTATGTAAAGTGTCACACAATTGTGCCGCTTTGTATGTTGTCTCCATGCCTTCTCAACCCATTCTCTAATTGTCAAAAAAAAAAAAAAAAGCCTTGATATTGATGAATACATCTCTCTTAGTTTCAGTTCAATTATCATTATTGATGTGTTGTGCGGCGTTCACTCTTAAGTTGATTTGTGTCTTGCATCAACAAGGCACAAATAGTAGCCATTGCCACTATCAGCATGATATCTAAGGCAATCAATCTTTGAATGAGTCACATTCAATTTCATTCTAGTGGTTTTTTTAATCACATTATGCTATAAAATGTCTAAATGCACGGATCATTATGTATTTGAGAAGTATACTGATAGGAAATACTTGAGTTCGCAAGTAACCCTAAGGTAATACTTGAGTTCGCAAGCAATCCTAACCCAAATCGATATGCAAACAGCAGTGAAATGGCTGTTTGTAGCAGGAAAAACAGCAAAAACCTACTGTCTACAGCAGGAAATCAGCACAAACCAGGGAAAACCGTGAGAAGAATCGATGCAAGACTTGTATTCCACTAGAAGATGCAACAAAATAGAAAAGATACAATTGATCCTCAATTCGAGAGGAGGATCGATCTCTCTCAAATCTCTAGACGCCGCTAGAGCCCAAAGAAAACCTAAATCTAAGAGATCTCAAATTTCTGTCAAATTCAAGATACCCAAACCCTAGGAAAACCAACTATTTAATGCATACAAATCAAAAGGAATTCCCTAAACAGTCCCTACATTCAAATTTCTCTCTTAAAACCCCCAAAAATCCTTCCTAAAACGCTCTGTTTGAGCGGACGGCCCGCCCGATCTCCGCAGGAGGCGGAGATTACGCCTGTTCGCGAATTGCCGGTCCCGTGCGGATCGGCTGGACCGGTCCAGTGGACCGGTCTAACAATACTTCCCTCCCAAAAATCCACCTTGTCCTCAAGGTGGAGATATGCTCGTGTTCCGGTGGAGGTGGCCATCCTTGAGGTGACTGAAAATCCTTACTGTATTGCTGAATCAAGGGCTGCACTGATAGAGAAACATCCCCTCGCTCTTCCAATCTGATTGCATCCAATATGTGTAGTCCCACCAGATAATCTTCCCCCACCTCTTGTACGTCCCTAACCATGGTCTTAAGTGATGTGATGGCTTTGGATAGCCCTGTATCTCTCCTTATAACCACCCTTCTCCCATCCACCATTAATTCCATCGTGAGTGCTCCCCAATTGTCCTTGGTTTCCCCCAAGGTTTGCAACCACTTCATCCCCAGGATGACATAAGTGCTTCCTAATTCTAGTGGGAGAAAGTCCTCCCTTACTTGAATCCCATGGATGGTCAACACCACTCCTTTACAGATTCCCTGACCTTTATCCACATTCCCTGTACCCATCATCACCCCATAACAACCGGTGTTCACCAATTTCACTCCCAGTTGGTTGACGACCTGAGTGGAAATGAAATTGTGGGTAGCCCCACTATTAATTAGCACCACCAACTCACGGCCAGCAATCTCTCCTTTCACTTTCATAATATGACTCGGAGTGAATCTCACTACAGAGTTCAGAGAGACTTCTGTCACATCCAGGTGCAACTTCTCCTCCTCTTATCCAGATCTGCTCCCACCTCCCTCCTCGTCTTCCTCGTCTTCACAGACAAGGAGAACCTGAAGAGTTTGGTCCTTGCACTTATGCCCTGGCATGTACTTCTCATCACATCTGAAGCACAACCCCTTTGTCCTCTTATCATGCATCTCCTTCTCTGTCAGCCTCTTGAAATTTTCCCCACTCCCTCCTCCTACTGGCTTCTCCCGGGTGGTCTCATTACTGTTGCCTGATGCAGGCCCCTTAGGTGCTAGAAGAGTGGTCGTTGTCCTGTAAGAGCCTCCTGAGCAGTTTCCTCAAGCCCCTCTTTCTGCTTTCTTCTGATCTTCTACCAACTTCGCCAGCTCCATAACCTTCCCTAGGTTCCTCGGCTTCAGCACCCTGACCGTTGTTCGTATATTCGGTTTAAGCCCCTTCATGAAGTTCCCTTCCAGGGCTGACTCTGAAATGTGATCCAATCTGCTAGCTAAGTACTCAAATCTGTCGCGGTAATCTGCCACAGTCCCCTCCTGAGTCAAGGCAAAGAATTGCTCATAGAAGCCTCCTCCCCCATCGGCTCGGAAACACTCCAATAAGCAATCTTTGAACTCTCTCCAGCTCCGGATAGGCTCCCTCCTGTCACGCCACTGGTACCATGCCACGACTTTTCCTTCCAAACACAATCCCGTTGTCAGCTTCTCTTCCTCTGTCAACCCGTTGACAGCAAAGTAACGCTCCACCTTATAGATCCAGCCATGGCCGTCTTCACCCTCAAAGACGGGCATCTTCAGCTTCCTCACTCGTGGGTCTCCCCAGTTTCCCCGGTATCCTCCATAACCTCCCATTCCTCGAAGGGGAAGAGTTTCCCAAGTGTCTCGATCAACCCTCCGACGATTATACTCGAATCCCTCTTCATACTCTCCTCTTCTCCCTTCAAAATAATCACCTCGACGCTGAATTCCTTCAAATTCAGCACCTCGACGATGATGTTCCTCCATTCTTTCATCAAAAATAGCCCCTCGACGCTGAATTCGAAAGAATTCAGCACCTCGGCGATGACATTCTTCCCTTCCCCCTTCAAAATCAACATCTCAACGCTGGATTCTTTCAAATTCAGCACCTCGGCGATTGAATTCGTCCCTCCTTCCGACCAAATCAGCCTCCCATAGGTCGTATCCCCTACTCATCTCTTCTCTAGAAAGCGGTTCTAGAGGGGGCATGTCATTCTCCTCCTCCAGAATCTCCACCTCCGAATTCCTCCTCCCCCATAACGGGTTCGGGTTTCCTCCCATGCCATGGCCATCGGTGGTCTCTCGTACTTCAAATATCGCCGGATTGGTCTTCATTTCAAGCAATTTCTTTAGCATCTCTTCCATCACGGGAAACTTCCCTTCCATCCTTTCATTATTGGAGGTGAGTTGATTTTGAAAATCAAAGAATTTTCCCTCCAAATCTGATTTTAGTTGCCCGATCTCGCCTTCCAAGACTTCCACCTTCTTCCCAGCCATCTCTCTTCTCAAGAATCACAAGAAAATTTCCTCTGGAACAATAAAATCCGCTGAAATTACAGAAATCCAGCCGCCAATCATCCCAAATCGATGCTCTGATACCAATTTGATAGGAAATACTTGAGTTCGTAAGTAGCCCTAAGGTAATACTTGAGTTCGCAAGCAATCTAACCCAAATCGATATGCAAACAGCAGTGAACGGCTGCTTGTAGCAGGAAAAACAGCAAAAACCTGCTGTCTACATCAGGCAATCAGCACAAACCAGGGAAAACTGTGAGAAGAATCGATGCAAGACTTGTATTCCACTAGAAGATGCAACAAAATAGAAAAGATACAATTGATCCTCAATTTGAGAGGAGGATCGATCTCTCCCAAATCTCTAGACGCCACTAGAGCCCAAAAAAAACCTAAATCTAAGAGATATCAAATTTCCGTCAAATTCAAGATACCCAAACCCTAGGAAAGCCAACTATTTAATGCATGCAAATCAAAAGGAATTCCCTAAACAGTCCCTACATTCAAATTTCTCTCTTAAGCCCCCCAAAAATCCTTCCTAAAACGCTCTGTTTGAGCGGACGCCCGATCTCCGCAGGAGTCGGAGATTCTGCCTGTTCACGAATTGCCAGTCCCATGCGGACCGGCTGGACCGGTCTAACATATACATGTACAAAGTGCTTATTATCATAGTATCAATAATATAACTATGAAGTTTCAAAAAAAGTATGATTATGATGAATGTTAAAATATTAGAAATGACATTTCTTTGTTAGATTTAAATGAGAATTTGACTTTTAATAGGACACAATGGAGAAAAAGGATTCATGTAGCCGATCCCACATAGCTGGATAAAGGCTTGTTGTTGTTGTTATTGTATGATGAATGTTAAAATCACATGCTGACAAACTCATCTTATTAGATATCGTGCATTAGGTCTCATCAACATGTATGTTCACATCAGACTTATGGGCATTTTTTTATTATACTGATCATTAATCCTAGTATACCAAAGTATCATGTTTTTTCTCTTTCCACCAATTTTGAATAATATTACAAGTCACTCGAACATCTTTATCATTATCATCAACAAATTCAGCAAGATATGGTCGATACCCAATCTCAATTTTCAAACACATGACAAGCCTTAGAAGTTTCAAAGAAGCCCACAAGAAGCATGCTCGATTTATTCAAGATGCTCTGGATCGATTAAGATAAAAACAATAAAAAATGTGATGGATTATAAAGATCCTTAATATCAAACTGAAGTTGATTATGTGATTAAAACCAGACTAGATTAAGAGCTCAAACCTTCTATATTGATTGTCAATATGTTTGAGGTGAGTCCAAGCCGATGGAGTTCACTATTTTTTTTAATAGGCAATAAAGCAAATAATACCTTTCATGTAATGGCTAAGTAGTTTCGGTAAGTTTTAGGAACCCTGAGCCTACATATAAGGGTTCTAATATTGTATCGGAGAGGGCTGATTTTAGATATTGAATTGAATACTGATTTCCTCCTTTCTCTTCTTTCTACCTACTTCTCTGCTGTCTCTTTCTATTTTTTTTCCTTCTCTAATTAATTCTTCTTTTCCTTTAACCTCAGTTATTTGTTACCTGTTTACATCAGAAACTCAGGGTTTTTTATGTTAACCAATTTTTCGCTTGCAGCTCTCCTCTCCTTATTATTATGTTTGTTGAAGGGACGGAAACTTCGTTCCTTTTTTTTAAATTACATTGTCTTCTGGTAAAAGCAGACAGCAGTATTTTCTGTGTTATCTCCTTTTCTTCCTTTTATATTGAAATTGCAAACTCCATTGCATTTATAAGTGTCGAAGTTATTGGAAGTTCCTTCTATTTGTCCGTGAACCATTTACCTCTTGTTGAGACGTTTGGCTTAAGTTCCTTTTGTTAGATTAAGTTGGGAGTTTTTGTTAACAAAGTAATTTATTTCGCAGGTTCTTTGTGCTTCAAATCAAGAAAATACAGCTGTAGAGCCCTTAATTCCCCCAGAAGGAGCCAAAATTGGGGAACGTGTTTCTTTTTCAGGGTAAGTACATTATTTAATCATTTAGCATTACTTTCCAGCACACTGTTTAGCCTTTATATTTCTTCCTCTGCTGTAAGTGTACACCTCCTTTACCTTTTCACCATAATTGTCTATTATGTTCGCCAAATCTGTGTCCTGTGAGCTATAACTGTGAACCCTTTCCTACATTTGTTTTTGTGGAAGATTTTTATGTGACTATTATGGACTTGGGCTAAATAGTTAGTCGTATGAAAAAAAAATGCTTTATAAAATCGAGAGTTAACATTTCTTTTGTCTTCTGAACTTAGCCTCTTGTGTCCTGGCATGCACGTGTTGTTTACTTGATATTATAGTGCAACGTGGAAGTGGGATTCTTCTACCAACCTCACTGTCAGTTTTATTATTGTAAGCTAAATCGATGAAGCAAGCATTATTCATGTATACCAATTTCTTGTTGGAGGATAATGGTGACAATATGTTACTTCTGGTGGAAATACAATTGTTTAATTGTTTTAGATTTGCATTTTTTGTTATTGTGCGACTTGTTTATGTAGATTTGATTGTGGTATTGCTATTGGTGATTGAATGGACTTCCTAGTGTGACCAGTAGGTACTGAGAAAGTATTTGGATGTCTCAAAAGTTTGTTTTATGTAGTAGTCAGGTCCATATAGGAATTTTCCTGTTAAAATCATATTACTTCTTTACTAAACTTCCCCTTGATCGTTATGGAAAATTTTGCGAAATTTCTGTAGCAGCCTTTATATTTTATGTGGTTGTCTGTGGCTCAATAGACGGACTAAATGAATGGCTAGTAGGATGACCTTAGTTTTAAATACACCTAGACTGAAATGAACTTCCACATTTTTGGAAACTTACGGATTCAGTTGTCACATCGAGCCAAACTGTAGAACCTGTGTAATTTACCGTTGATCTAATGTTAGAAAACACTTGAAGATCTCAAGTGAAACCTAATAATATCGACAAAAACAGCGAGAACGATCAACCAAATCAAAAGAAAAACCGGAAAAACGGTAGTTTTCATTGGAATAATCAAACTAACGGAAGAAAATTAACAAGATAGAATTGATCTTCTATTCGAGACGAGGATTTATCTCTCCCAAATCTCTAGATGCCGCTAGAGCCCAAAAAACCCTAAGAGATCTTAAATTTCAGCCAAATTCAAGATGCCATAACCCTAGGAAAACAAATTATTTAATTCATACAATCCTTTAAAAATAAAAATAATAATGCATACAATCCAGAAGGAAATCTCTAAATAGTCCCTACATTCAAATTTCTCTCCTAACTCCCTCAAAAATCCTTCCTAAACAGCTCCGTTTGGAGAGGGCAGTTCGATCGGCACGTACAGGAGAGGCAGAACTCTTCCGCCTGTTATGCCGGGACCGGCTGGACCGGTCTAACATCTAATTACCATAATCATAAAGTTGTAGACAAAACTCCGAATGGCCTTCTGGGATTATCTATATTACCAATCTATTTTTGATTTGGTTGCAACTGCTTCATTAGTTGTAGTGGCTCGATCAAACAAGTTTATGATAGTCCCTCCTATGCATGCTTGTTATTGTCAGTATATTTTGCTTTATATATGGTATTTATTTTGATAGATTTGATGGGAAGCCAGAAGATGTTCTAAACCCAAAGAAGAAACAGTTGGAAAAGATTACCCCGGTATGTAAACTCTTCCCTTGTGTTTCCTTGATTGTTCCCGTTTATGTTGCACATCTTCCAATATGATTGTTGATTCTTTAATAAAAGAAAACAAAAATCATGATTTACTTCTTGCTGCGTTTTTATTCTTTTGAAAGAATCTTTTGACCGTTTTCCTAAACCGTTATGGATATTTTGAATTGTTACTGTGCCCATTCTCAAAAAACATTTTGGTGGATTCAGCATTTATACACTGATGAGAAGGGTGTGGCAACATACAAAGGGATACCTTTCATGACTTCTTCTGGGCCTTGCACATCTTCCATTACTAATGCAACCATCAAATGATCATACGATATTTCCAGGCAAGATCCAACCTGTGTTCATTAAAAGGTGCTCCATTACTTACAAACAGTTTATCAAGAAGTTGATGATCTTACATGTATTGGCATTTTTTTTTGGATTGTTGAGGCTGAATTCATAAAAATCATATTAATTTAGAAAAATCACAGTGAATTCAATCTCAGTCATCTAAAATAGATCGCAAGGCTGAGATGTGTTCAAGAGTTTTGTGTATTTCAAAGTAAATTTTCTCCTACAAGTTTGCAAAACTGATATTTGAATATTTGATAGTGATTGATATGTTTACCATTGTTTCTTGTTATAGGTATTGGAATTAACACAGCTTTAAATATACATAGAAACTGCTGATCAGGATATTGTGATATAACTTCTTCTTTTTTCAATAAATAATTATAATAATAGGTTTTTAGAAGTATTTTAAGCAATCTTCTGTCGTTTAAATGATATTGTTAATATATAATAATGCATCAATGGTGTATAAATATAATTATTAAAATCAGTGAAAAATAGAGACCTTGTCACTGATTCATTGATAACACTGCCGAAATATGGTGTTATTTGCATAAGCTGTTGGTGTTAAGCTTATACTCAATAAGGCGAGAAATTATTGTGTGGACATCGGACGGTTCAGAGACTAATTAGAATGCGTCATACCACCCGATACACAGAGGGATTATTTTAGTTATGGAGATAAGTGAAAATAGAGGATTCCAATGTACCTTTAGGGTTTTAGAATGAAATAAAAAGATTAAGAGAGAGAGAGAGAGCATTACCAAAATTTGAATAAAGACGGGTCATCAATCCGATTACTATGGTGACACACATCTCAAAATTAAGGTTTTGTTTGAGATAATTTTATTATTTTTTTTTGTAAAATTATTGTGGAGAAAATAATTTATTACAATTGTTGCAAAAAGTAATTTCTAGTAGAATTTTTTTAAAGCATTGTTATCAAATAGACATGTAGTCGTTGTTTCAAGAGCAAAATAATAAGAAAATTGTCCTAGATTAAGCCTAATTTGAATTAAATTGGGTTTCGAAATGCTAAATAATATATTTTGTGGTTAAAAGCCATAAAACTCTATTTGGAGTTATGAAATAAATATCAACTGAAATAGTTATTATAAAGTAATAATATATATTGTAGCTATAATTTATGGAAATACTTATGGGTTTTATGCTAGTGAAATAATTTCAATTGTAATACGCCACCATCTTGTGTGCTTGCCATCTCTATCAAGGTTAATGCTCCTTTTCTTAGGCCTCGTTTGATGCGGTATTTGTCATTATTTGAATATGCCGCTTATGCGGAAATGTTTTTTTGCATAACTTCATTATTTTTTATTGTTTTGAAAAGTTTTTTTGATATATGTTTCTCCGTTTGAGAACTCCATTTGCTCCACCATTGTTTTTAAAACTATCTTTTACAAAAGTTAAGGGATAACCAAATGAAGCCTTAAGTTGTTGGTCTCCCTACAATAAGGAGGGGAGGGCCTGTCATATCGCCGATGTTCTCTTGAAAAATTAAATGCCTTGAGGCTCCTACTTTAGCAATATAAGTTATATTATCATGAATTGCTACTAGATTTGAAAATATTTTTGTTAATGAAAACAGTGGAGTGTGTATGATGCTACAATGTGAGGGAGTTTCATCCAAAATTTCAGCAGAATGATTAAATTTTTATTTTCAAGCTTTTTTTTTTTTTCTAATTTCATTCAGCATTATATTATTCTTTGGAGAATACAAAAATGTATTGATTCATTTAGGACTTTAATCTTGAGTCCCATATTTGATATTTGTGGTATAAAAGATTTTTCTTAGGGGCTGTTTGGTTTAAAATAAATTGAGTGTAAAGTATTTTAAATGTAAATATTTTGAAAATAATGATGTTTGGTTGGATGAAAAAGGAATACAATAGAAATTTTTAGTGATTTTTTTTTTTCACTTTGTAGTTTATTTTTGATGAATTGCACTTGGCTAATCTTGAGTGAATTCATTTTTCATTACAAGCAAGCTGCATTGTTATTGTCGGCCATTGCAGCTCGTCGTGGCTGTTTCCAACAAATGTTGACCGTTGCCACCCGTTGATACAGGCCAACAGCCCAGCACGGTTTCCTTTGGTCGCCTCCATCGACCACCGACCACCACTGTCATTGTCGGCCACCAATCACCGCCATGCTTCATTTTTTTCTTCATGCAAAAAAAAAAAAAAACAACCACTAACATTTTATTTTATATCCATCCAAATAACTCAAATCATTTTAAATAAAATATTATTTTTATATATTCTTTTTATCTGCATGTTTTTCAACTAACTAGACAATCCCTCTCTGCATAATTAAAATTTATGACCAATCTTATGTTGCAAAAACCTATAATTGATTGTGTTATCTTTTAATATGGAAATAAGGTAGCTTTAAAAAATGAATAGCAAAAAAGCTACTCATTTTACAACAGTAGAATCTCATACTTTTATTTATTTTTTTATTTTTTTATTTTTATTTAAAAAAAAAAAGCAAAAAAGCTACTCATTTTACAACAGAAGAATGTCATACTTTTATTTATTTTTTTATTTTTATTTAAAAAAAAAGGTCTGCTTAAGTTCTTAGAGTTTGTTTTATAATGAGTAGAAATGTAGAATATTAATTTTAATTAATTATTTATATATTATTTCTATATTAAAATACTCATCATGACTAAATATTTATTTAGCCTACCATCATTAGCCAGTACTGTTCCCACTGAACCCACCCGGAGAACAAAGCCACACTCATTCGGCGAAATTTCACCCGCGTTTCTAAGAACTTTCCCGTTTGTACGATCCACTTTAAACAAACCATTCATTTCTTCTTTAATCTAAGTGATTAAATAAATGCGAATTATGTATTATATCTCGTCCGCAACCAAATGAATATTGAAAATGGTGTCGGTGGGGACATCACGTACGATGGATGGCATTCTTGCGCGGGGAAAGGCCACATGGGTACATGTGTTAAAGGGGTTAGGTCGGCTCCGTATAGAATTAAACAAATTGTAAGTGTCATTCTTGACCGAACCTAACGATTTTTAAAGATTATCAAAGAGATTTTAGAATCCAATTTCGTCAATATTAAAATTATTCTTTGAACAATAACAATAAATTAAAAGCCTTTGTGATCCCAACCGTGAAGGATTGCATGCATCAATGGATCTTAATCTGTTATTGTACGTAGTTTATCTTGATATGTTGGTTGAAAGTTTTGACTATCAATCAAGAGGTCTTGGATTCGAGTCTTATATATGTGATCGATTGATGTATATATTCGAGTTATATATATATTCGGGTGGTGCCAATTGCCTCTAGGCTTTAAGGTGGATCCTCCAATGCTTAGATTTTAGAAGACATAAACATCTAGCACGGGCGGCCTTCGTTTGGGGTGAGAGAGGAGCGGCATGGAAAACGAAAGCATTATCAATGTCGTGAGTCACGATTCACGAGAGAGGAGCAAAGGGGAAAACGAACCATTGATGTTTTTCAGGTGCCCAGAAAAAGAAGTCAGTGGCTTCTCTCAATTAATAAATAACTTTAAAAGAAAAAAATTACAAAAATTATTGCAGATTTCCTCGTTGGCAAACTTATTTATTTGTTAAGCCACTAAAACAATCAGCTTGAAGCCCGTTTTAACTTTCAGTTTTAGCTTTTAGCCAATACTTTAGAGGAGATCTCTCATCCATAATAGAAAGTCATTCCTCCCTTTCTCTTTCAATATTTTACTCATTAGTCTTTTTCTCTCTACAACTAAAACATTGCATAGTCAGGGTAGAAGGATTGAAGACTTGAACCGGAAAAAGTCTGTAATTTTTTTTAGGTGGGGCATGTGCCTCACCTATGTTCGTAAATGTATAAGTTGTAGCTCTCAAACTAAGGCAATACAAATATCTTTATTAATTATATATCATCTTCATGCCATTAATGCAACCTACCTTGAGGTTCCCTAACAAAGACCTATGTCTCAAGTTTCCCATGAAGTTCATAATGCCAGAAAATTACCAATTTTTAACTCTTTTTGAATTGTTACTGTCATGAATAGTTCTGATGGCATCAAATATATTTGGATATTAAAGCAAAATTTTCAAAGAAATTGACAGCTTGATGATATTTATATGCGTAAGAAATAATAGCCAGTAGAGATTTGTAGCAAATTTGTTTTAGATTGGGAACTAATATAATTTGAATTAATAGATGGAATATATATATATACATATATATTGCGAAATGTTTGCATATCTAATATTAAAATTTTTATATTTATTTATATATTGGAGATTTACATATATACTATGAGATGTTATATATTTGCATATATAATATTAAAATTTTATATTTATATATATAATATTTTTGAGAATTTGATCTTTAACAGGACATAATGGAGAAAAAATATTCATATAGTCGCCCCACATAATGTGATAAAGATT